AAATAAATTGACGAACGATCCCCTTAATATTATGTGACGTCGTAGACCGACCATGGAGGGTAACAAAAAAACTTTATTCCCGTCATAAACAGCCATTATAGTCGTTAAATATGTTCATATAACGTAATTTCTTATATAAGCAAACAATATAAGTAAACAATGACATACGTCATACGTTCAGTTTTCAAGGGAGGTAACGTTTTTAAAATTATTATTTTTCAAATAATTGTATACTATTTTAAACAGAAACAGAAAATGACGAAGTATAGCATTTGTTTTAGTAGAAAATTAAGTTGTTAATTTAGTTAAGTATGTTAATTAAATTAATTAATTAATTTCAAAAGGCAATGTAATATAAACTATGAGATATACTGTTCATGAAACCTGTGTAGTTCTAATTCCATTTTAGTTATACATTGCGTACTTTCCAAAAATTCTGTGCGAACATAATATAAATGACGAACAAAAACATGTCTTTTCTAAAGTTAGCATTACTGTTTAAATTCAACTTATTAAAGCACTCCACACCCAATCCATCGCTAAATAATTAAGTATTCAAATTCTCAAATGTTTTTTAAAAACCTAAGCGAAGCTAGGCAGTATGCCTAGTCTATATATATAAAGCAAAGTGGTCAAGTGCCCGATAGGGCACTTCCCGGCGCCGCAGGCGCGTCAAATTCGGCACGATGGTGCCTTCGGGCAATAGAACACGAAGGCCGGTGACGGTTGGCCGAAAAGTCTACGGAGAAGGGGTCAAAACTGACCTCGACTGACCGGCGCCTTATATGGGCTATATTACGAAAAAAAATTTCCTCCGACGACCCCCCTTGAAATTTTGTGAGGTGGTAGGAGAACACCTTGGGGTGTCACAAAAAACTCGCCATGTCCGGGAAAAATCGGGAAATGGGTCAAAACTGACCAGTCGTATTTCCCTATATAATCTTTGTATTTTATGGGAAAAACAGAGGGTCATTTCAAAACGGATTTTAGGGCACTTACCCTGTTTACATCTGGCTAATTTTTGACATGTTTATAGGTAAATGGCTTGACCGTAGGGCTGACCTGTCGGTCTTACTCAAAGCCCTCGACGAGGGCTAAAAAGTGACCGCGAGTGAAATTCTCTTTATATGAGCTCTATTACGAAAAAAAATTTCCTCCGACGACCCCCCTTGATATTTTGTGAGGTGGTAGGAGAACGCCTTGGGGTGTCACAAAAAACTCGCCATGTCCGGGAAAAATCGGGAAATGGGTCAAAACTGACCAGTCGTATTTCCCTATATAATCTTTGTATTTTATGGGGAAAACAGAGGGTCATTTCAAAACGGATTTTAGGGCACTTACCCTATTTACATCTGGCTAAGTTTTGGCATGCTTATAGGTAAATGGATTGGCCGTAGGGCGGACCTGTCGGTTTGACTCAAAGCACTCGACGAGGGCTAAAAAGTGACCGCGAGTGAAATTCTCTTTATATGAGCTCTATTACGAAAAAAAATTTCCTCCGACGACCCCCCTTGAAATTTTGTGAGGTGGTAGGAGAACACCTTGGGGTGTCACAAAAAACTCGCCATGTCCGGGAAAAATCGGGAAATGGGTCAAAACTGACCAGTCGTATTTCCCTATATAATCTTTGTATTTTATGGGAAAAACAGAGGGTCATTTCAAAACGGATTTTAGGGCACTTACCCTGTTTACATCTGGCTAATTTTTGGCATGTTTATAGGTAAATGGCTTGACCGTAGGGCAGACCTGTCGGTCTTACTCAAAGCCCTCGACGAGGGCTAAAAAGTGACCGCGAGTGAAATTCTCTTTATATGAGCTCTATTACGAAAAAAAATCTCCTCCGACGACCCCCCTTGATATTTTGTGAGGTGGTAGGAGAACGCCTTGGGGTGTCACAAAAAACTCGCCATGTCCGGGAAAAATCGGGAAATGGGTCAAAACTGACCAGTCGTATTTCCCTATATAATCTTTGTATTTTATGGGAAAAACGGAGGGTCATTTCAAAACGGATTTTAGGGCACTTACCCTCTTTACATCTGGCTAATTTTGGGCATGTTTATAGGAAAATGGCTTGACCGTAGGGCAGACCTGTCGGTCTCACTCAAAGCCCTCGACGAGGGCTAAAAAGTGACCGCGAGTGAAATTCTCTTTATATGAGCTCTATTACGAAAAAAAATTTCCTCCGACGACCCCCCTTGATATTTTGTGAGGTGGTAGGAGAACGCCTTAGGGTGTCACAAAAAACTCGGCATATCTGGGAAAACTTCGTAAAGGGGTCAAAACTGACCAGTTGTATTTCCCTATATAATCTTTGTATTTTATGGGAAAAACAGAGGGTCATTTCAACGCAGACTTTAGGGTACTTAATCTCAGTATATCTGGCTAATTTTTTGCATGCTCCTAGGTCAATGGCTTGACCTTTAGGGAAAACTGTCGGTTACACTCAAAGCCCTCGAAGAGGGCTAAAAAGTGACCGCGAGTGAAATTCTCTTTATATGAGCTCTATTACGAAAAAAATTTTCCTCCGACGACCCCCCTTGATATTTTGTGAGGTGGTAGAAGAACACCTAGGAGTGTCACAAAAAACTCGGCATATCTGGGAAAACTTCGGAAAGCGGTCAAAACTGACCAGTTGTATTTCCCTATATAATCTTTGTATTTTATGGGAAAAACAGAGGGTCATTTCAACGCAGACTTTAGGGTACTTAAGCTCAGTATATCTGGCTAATTTTTTGCATGCTCCTAGGTCAATGGCTTGACCTTTAGGGAAAACTGTCGGTTACACTCAAAGCCCTCGACGAGGGCTAAAAAGTGACCGCGAGTGAAATTCTCTTTATATGAGCTCTATTACGAAAAAAAATTTCCTCCGACGACCCCCCTTGATATTTTGTGAGGTGGTAGAAGAACACCTAGGGGTTTCATAAAAAACTCGGCAATTCTGGGAAAACTTCGTAAAGCGGTCAAAACTGACCAGTTGTATTTCCCTATATAATCTTTGTATTTTATGGGAAAAACAGGGAAATTTTAACACAATTTTTAGGTTACTTAATGTCTGTACATCATGCTAAGTTTTTGCATACACTACTATAGATGACTAGGCCGTATGGAAAAACTGTTGGTCAGACTCAAAGCCCTCGACGAGGGCTAAAAGATGATCTTGAGTGAAATTCTCCTTATATGATATATATATATATATATATATATATATATATATATATATATATATATATATATATATATATATATATAAATAAATTGACGAACGATCCCCTTAATATTATGTGACGTCGTAGACCGACCATGGAGGGTAACAAAAAAACTTTTTTCCCGTCGGAAACAGCCATTATAGTCGTTAAATAAGTTCATATAACGTAATTTCTTATATAAGCAAACAATATAAGTAAACAATGACATGCGTCATACGTTCAGTTTTCAAGGGAGGTAACGTTTTTAAAATTATTATTTTTCAAATAATTGTATACTATTTTAAACAGAAACAGAAAATGACGAAGTATAGCATTTGTTTTAGTACAAAATTAAGTTGTTAATTTAGTTAAGTATGTTAATTAAATTAATTAATTAATTTCAAAAGGCAATGTAATATAAACTATGAGATATACTGTTCATGAAACCTGTGTAGTTCTAATTCCATTTTAGTTATACATTGCGTACTTTCCAAAAATTCGCTACGAATCTGCATGTAAATGACTAATAAAAACATTTTATCTAAAGTTAGCATTACTGTTTAAATTAAACTTATTAAACTTATTAAAGCACTCCACACCCAATCCATCGCTAAATAATTAAGTATTCAAATTCTCAAATGCCTTTTAAAAACCTAAGCGAAGCTAGGCAGTATGCCTAGTTACTACATAAAAGTTTGGAATTAAATAGTTTCTAATGCACTTTTTTATAACTTTGCTCAACTGGCATTTAAATTAAGGAGGTTTTTTTTTTAAAATTCCAATAATTTTGCACTTAATGGGAAGTGCTTGGCTAGCTTGTGGCACGGGTTCGAGACACACCATACCCTTGTTAATTTTCTTCTTTTCAATTTTTTTAAAGATGTGAATGGTAAAGTTGCCTATAGGAACTTGGCGGAATACAGGGTAGGTGAAGTAGAGTTCACCTGTTCCTGTGTCCACAGCGTATGAAGGGATAGTGTGGTCAGACTAATGCTCAGCCAAAATCGGTGTTTTTAAAAGAAAAAAAAACATGTTGTCTGAGGTGTGACGTCTTTTTGAATGTGGGGTCTGGCTTTTTGTGAAGATGTTTGACAATGGAAAGGAAAGGGGAAAGATAAAAATCGTCAATCAAACGTAACGTCATTTATGGATTACCCCCAAAACACACGGTTATTCAAGAATATCGGATAAAATGTGAAGATTCCTCTTTAGACTTAACGATAGATTGGGCAGTCGCAGTTCATAATGTTTCATGACCTCGGTATATAAAGTGATACTATGGTCAGCACTATGTCCAGCCGCCTTTACCTTCCCTAACGTGAGTTAGGGAAGACTCATGGACGTTCCACTAACTTGAACCCGGATTCGAACTCGAAACAATCCGGTTAGCAGTCTAGCACTCCACCGCTAGGACACGTCGTCCCATAAGAATACAGGAAGTCTAGTATAATATAAAAATTCAATCATGTCCAAAATGTAAATTAATAAAAATATAATTCTAAATTTCGTTCAAGTATAACCATGTTTTAATTTATTATCTCTTTTCCGCGTGCCCATTTCTATTTAGTGTGTTTGTTTTAAAAATTAAAATGAAATAATTTAATCTATAAAAATGAAATATGAAAGCAAAAACATAATCGCAATAAAATTTTAATACATTAAGATTTGAAGAAAATTTAATACATGGGTGATGCCATCAATTTTTTATGTAACTTTTAGTCATGCGCCAACGTGCGGGTAGCAGTTCACTTTCTATTTAGTGTGTTTATTTTAAAAATTAAAATGAAATAATTTAATCTATGAAAACTGAAGTATGAGAGCAAAAACATAATCGCAATAAAATCTTAATACATTAAGATTTGAAGAAAATTTAACACATGGGTGATGTCATCAATTTTGTATGTAACTTTTAGTCATGCGCCGACGTGCGGGTCGCAGTTCACTTTTTCGAAGAATTGCTGGAACCATGTTTGAGCAGTTTCCATTCATTTCCCAATACACTATTTTCGTAAAATAATCTATAGAAAATTTTTTGTTTCGTGTATCAATTGTTGAACTTTGGTAACAAATGATCAGCGTTTGTTTGTAGACCAGAGCGCCGCACAGCTCTTTCTCTCCACTCCACAGAAATCCAACATTTTCAAAATACATTGTTTTTGATGAACACAATATTTTCCACATTTCTCCATTAGTTTGTAGAATGTAAGTGTTGCTGTCATCACTGAAACTTATCATCTGTTCTGCTGGTCCATTCAATTGTTCTAACTCTGTTAATTTCTTTGTTAGAATGTCCAGCTGATAAACAATTGTTTTTTCCTCTTGGTTGATTTTATTTGAGCAAAAAATGAGTATCATCTTCTGATAATGTGTTGCGTGTTTCACGCTTAAAGTGTTAGGCAATTTTGCAAACTTTTCGACTTTTATGATGCTATTTTTCTTTGTTATTGAATAAATTGTCGATTTAATTTTGCTCAGAACAAAAATGGCATCATTGCATGACACTAAAATTAACTGACGACCTTTAACTTCAGCAATTTTGTTCCACGATTTGTTGCTTAAAACACATAGAGTGCTGGTTGAATTAGATTGATGTTTGACACCAGTAGCGTATAAATCGGAGTCATACACAACACAGGCTATATCTAAAGTTACAATATTATTTTCTGCACACTTAAGTATTTTTTTATGTATAGCAGTTATGATAATAAATTGGGCATTGCAAAATGTAACTCCACAGTGTTCAAATTCACTACAGGTACGATGTGTAGCCGCTGTTGGCCATTGACCGTTGTTATAATGTGTCGTCTTATACAACACAGCATCAATCAAAATATCTCTAGTTTCAGTAACGCTGAGTATCAATCTATGTTTTAGCAGATGTTTTAGAAGAGGTGTACTCACAAGACACGTCCTCACAGACTTCAACAATGTTGTCAATACCTGAGGTCTTTTTCTTTCATTCTCCCTTTCATTCTCTTCACCATTGAAGGTTTCTTCAGGGACATACTCAACCCACTTCATTACCGTATCCAGAACTTTATCCTCAGAACTCACTTCAAGATAATCAGAGTCAATCAATTCGTAGAATTTGTTAAAGTCAAGTTCCATTAACGTTTTTGAACCACTTACGGCGTCGAAGTTTTTTAACAAAAATGTCTTACAAATACTGAATGCATTTTTAGAGCTAAAACGGAGGGCTGTTTCAAAAATGTGCTCCCAATTTTCAAGAGACGTAGCCTTTTTTGCGAAATCCTCACAGTTTTGTACAATAAAATCTATCTGTAGTTCATCTGCTGCCTGCCATATGTCTACAAAATTGTCTAACGTTAAAACAACTTTTCCGCTGTATAGGCAGTTTAAAATAATTTGAAACGCCGAAGCTCGTACCCCATTTAGAGTTACACAACCATCTTTCTCTTCCTTCATATTTGATCTAAAAAGTGCTCTGAAGAAATGTGACGACGCTGCCAGAATAACACGGTGACATCGAAAGTTTTCATCTTCCACCTTTACAATATAATCTAACAACTCATTTTCTTGCAGAAGGTTGTCTGTGTTTTTCACAATAGTCTGTCCGTTTTCATATTCCTCTCTCATCGCCATCGTTCTAAGCAGAAACTATTGGCTCTGGGAAATAAAAAGAATGTAAATGTTTGAATAAAAAAATGTATCTCCATAGTCTAATTGACCATTCGATGATTACGAATTGGAAATCCAAGTACAAGGCTTGGGTCCATGTTGAGAAGAGCCAGATGTTGCCCATGTATCAGGACCTCTCTCTCAACACAGCTAATGGAACCAATGGACAGAACATTACCTATACGATTTGGAATCTGCTGTGTCGCAGGAGCTGCCTGAAAGAAACCTGTGTTGGTATCCTATCACCAAAGGGGCTTCACTCCTGATTGATTTGTAGTTTCCTCTCCTAGAAGAGTTGCTGTTCAAATTTATTAACATGTAAATACGGAACTATTTAAAATATTATTTGAGGAGTCTACTTGCAAAACCTGCTAAGTCACTTCTGATTTATTTTGAGGAAATCGTCTTAATTTTTTTTTTCTGTTGACTAACCTTATGATTTTTTAAAATATTTTACTGTTAAGAAATGTATTTTGTATTTTTCTTTTTTGAAAAAAAATATTAGTATACTGCTTAAATTGCCACTTAATTAAGGAGGCTATAAGAATAACTCATTTTGTTTTACAAAGTGGTTCTAGTAGGTTTTGAAAAAATACTCCTCATGTATACAATGAAGCATACAAAAATAGTCCTAGTTATTGAAATAAAAATACCATTGGTAACAGCACTTTTCTTATAACTTGCTTCTAAGACATGACAATGTAAAACTTAACGGTGACAAAGAGGGAAGCTAAAAATGTTACAAAAATCATTACAACGAAAAATATTATGGGTCTAGGAAAACAAATATAATCATTCAACATTATAAGTATGAAAGATATGTATTATTTTATATAAAACGTCCATCCACATATCTAAGATTTATTTTAAAAAAAAGTTTTCAAATTCTTTTAATCTTTAATTTTGAAAATGCTTAACGCTATGGAAAAACCAATAGAAACAAAAACAGAAATAAAAAAATATGCCATCAATATCAAGAGATCTCTCTCAACCTACCTGCCATATTCAACTTGTATCCCTAAATCTAAACTTACCATGTACATGTTTTCTTAACTCCAAAGTAAATTTTTTAGAGTAAATTTATACAAATATCGTAATAAAGAAAGCCCATCGATAAAATGTATTCATTACGATTGCTAATAAAGATAAACCGAATTAAAATTTAAATTATCTAGCAAAATAAAAGTTTGCAGCAGTACTAGAGCCCTCAATAAAACGCATCTGGGTATTTCCTTTTTGTCCAGCTGTGGTGCGCAAATCGAATGCATACTCTAACTAAACAAGTTGCATTATGAAACTAGCAGCAAACTAAATAAAGGGTGGGTGAGACCCTCTAAACTTTCTTGTACATTATTATAAAACGGTGAGTGAGGGTTAGTATAGAACTTTCAGTGGACACGGGTTATACAAGTTAGTAGTGAAGTATGTGACAAAAACGTAAAGTAAAAGTAAAGTTCCCCTTTCAAACCTTAAGGTCCATGGGGCAAGTGAAGTAGAGTTCAACTGTTTCTGTGACCTCGGAATATGAAGAGATAGTGTTAGGTACCCATTAGAGTTGGGCGTTGATGGAGAAATAATGCAAAATGAATATTTCAATCTGGGAATAGTAGCAAATTTTAAAACTTCCCGCGCCTTTTGGACACAGCCAGTACACCCCATGTGCTGGGTATGTGTGGTGTTTGCTCACATTTTCAAGATATGCCACCATTAGAGATATTTTGCAACATTCAAATGTATCCTTAGATTTGTATTTAAAAAAAAAAGATACAGAATGTTTTGTAAAACTGGCGCTTGCTATACTGAAGGCTGCGAGTTCTTTTGGACACAGCCAGTCCACCCAATTTGCTGGGTATGTGTGGTCGTATCTCAATTTTTAAGATATGCCACCATTAGAAATCTTTTGAAAAATTCAAAAGTGTTCTTAGATACTTACTTAATCCTCATTACTCCCTGTGGAGTATAGGGCAACAACAAATCTCCGCCATTCCACTCTGTCCTGGGCGAGCCAGTTCTTTGATATTTTTTAGAGATTTTTTTTTTTTTTTTTAATGTTCTTAGATATGTATATTAAAAAAACCGATACGGAATGTGTTGTAAAAGTGGTGATTGCTATACTGTCGGCTGCGAGTGTTCGGAACCTGGGGTCGTGGCTGTAGGTCGACTTCTGACCGAACAGCCCGTCATATGCAAAGCAAATGGTGTGATAGATGGAGGGGGGGGGGGATGCAACAGTCTGGTTGAAACCCACGACTGGTAACATGGCTCGATTCTAAATCATTTTTCGGTATGCTTGGCTAAAGAACAAAGTTGGATCCAGTACTGATCGTACATGAGAGACAGAGAATGTATAGTTGACACATGAGCGCGATATTTGGAGTAAGTTTATTGCAGATCCAAGAAATTGATCGCAGTTAGATTTTAAAAAGTGACTGACAGAAAGAGGGCTTGGCATTGTATTTGTTTTTACAAAGGTGAAACAGTGATAAAAACTGGTATTTTTTTATTTTAATTATACAGCTGTACTAGTATGTTTATATAATTCGTTAAATTTTTATATTCTTAAAAATTTGTATGGTTTTTTTGTGTCATTTCTTTTTCATTATTATAGGTTAGTAGTAGTTTTCAATTATTTATCTTTATACAGCACGACCAAATACAATGATGACGAAATAAAAAGATAATCTGTAACAGTGAATATTGTAGGTCGGGATATAGATTTTAAGGATTTTTATAAAATGTGCTTAACGGCTTGTGCTGACGTCATCAAAACACAAACATTATTTAATGTACGAGAGAAATAAAATGTTCTTCAAGATATTTTAGACTATTTTTAAGATGATTTTTTTTACTTACGTGTATGTAGTCTAACGCTAGAAAAGTGCATGGTATTAGGTCTCTTGTAAGCTATATTGTATGGCAAACATTTGTGATATTTTCGCTAACAAAATCTTATCAAATAAAACCCGCGAAGAAGGTTACAAAGAGGCTTAAAGTCAGGATTAACAAGCCGTTCTTCTAAAAGTAAAAATATATTCTCGAAAGAACATTCATCAAATTTAACAGCTTAGTAGCTTTTATTACTAAGGGGTAAAATAACTTGTATTATTGATAGAATGGGTAGAGAATGTACACACTATAAGAGTTCTGGAGGTGTTGTTGATTTTTAGTACATATAGTACCCATATAAATAATGGACGATTTAAGCGCGTGCTAATTTAGAACGACAATAAAACACATGTTCAGAATAAAGAAATTGAACAAAATATGAATTACATATACAATAAAATAATTATTTGTTTTATAATTTATTATAGCAAAATGAAAAATTTGAAACGACAGAACTTAATTACGAAATAAAAAAAAAACAACTGCCTAATATACAATTAAACATGACAGGCTATATGATTAGACATCATATTTTGAAAGGTTAAGTATATAAAAATAAAACTTCCATGGGACTAAGATGCAAGTTGTTTAAAATATTTAAAAAGAAACTTTTTCTTGCCAGCTGAAGTGTGTTTAATTTTTATCTTTTCCGCTTGCCTAATAAACTTTTGCAATCTTTACTGCCATTGAAATAAAAAAAAAACACTCATATAATTAAACAATCAAAACTGAAATACAATTGCGAAAATATAACCCTCTTACAATTGTAGAACTTTGATTCTAAAACTTAAAATTAAAGATTTCTTTAGAAACGTCATCTACAACTTCTTTAGAGTAGGCAACAGTTCACTTTTAGGCAGGGCTACGGGAACAAAGTTCGAGCATGCGCTGTCGTGTCCCCAGTACTTTATTTTGTTAAAGTAACCTTCAAGGTGACCCAGCCGTTTCTGCTCTGGTGGTTCGCACTTCGGTCTTTGGCCGAAAATAATCAGCTTTTGTTTGTATGTCAAAGCGCCGTACAGCTTTCTTTGTATGTTCCATAATTTCTCCACAAACTCAAAATAAATCGTGTCTGATGAGTCGACATTAATTTTCCATAAGTTTCCGTTGGTTTGTAAAACGAAAGTGTTGTTGTCATCACTGAAACTTATTATCTGTTCAGCTGGTCCATTCAATTGTTCTAACTCTGTTAGTTCCTTGGTTAGAATGTTCAGCTGGTATACTTCAGTTTTTTCCTCCTCATTGGTCATCACCGAGATAAAAATGAGAATCATTTTCTGATAATTTATGGCATGTTTAACATTTAAAACGTCTGGCAGTTTTGTAAACTCAGCAACATTGGCATTCCATTTTTTCTTAGTTATTGTATATACCACTGGGTTAAATTTATCCAGGATAAAAATTCTTTCTTCAAAGGGAACCAAAATCAACTGACGTCCGTTTAATTCAGTTATTTTCTGCCACGAATTGTCGCTCAAAACATACAGAGTGCTGTTTGTCTGAGATGGATCACTGGCACCGGCCACGTACAAATCTGAGTCAAACACAACAAAAGTTACATCGGCATTTACAAAAGTATTCTTCACACAGGTGTGGATTTCTTCAGCACATGCTGACAAGATGTAAAATATGTTTTTATTCACACATACTATTCCGCAGTGTTCAAATTCACTCGAGGCACGGTGTATACCTGATGTCAGCCATTGTCCATGGTTGTAGTGTGTCGTCTTATACAAGACAGCATCAATTAGAATATCCCTAGCTTCAGTGTTATCAAGTATTAGTGGATGTTTAAGAACATGTTTTAGGAGTTGATTGGAAACAAGACAAGTCCTCACAGACTTCAGTAATGTTGGCAAATTTTCAATTCTTTTTCCTTTCGCTTCGTTTGTTTGTTCATGTTCAACACTTATGTCATGAAACTCATTTACAGTTTCAAGTCTTTCATCTTTTGTTGTGTTATTGTCTAAGACATTTAAACCAGAACGGTCTTCATTGTTATCTTTAGGTAAGGATTCCTTAGGGACATACTCAACCCATTTCATTACAGTTTCAAGAACTTTATCTTCAGAACTGACTTTTAGAGCATGAGAGCTAATCAGCTCATTAAATTCATTAATACCCATTTCCATTAAAGTTTCCATACCGCTCACGTCATCGAAGTTATTTAACAGAAATGTTTTACAAAGATTTAAAACCTGTTTGGAATTAAATGTTTTTGCCGTTTTGAAAATAACCTCACAGTTTTCAAGGGATATTACCTTTACAGCAAAGTCTTCACAGTTTTTTGCGATAAAATCTACCTGTAGCTGATCAGCTGCCTGCCATACTTCTATAAAGTTGTCCAACGTTAACACCACTTTTCCAGTGTACAAAGACTTTAAAATAATTTGAAACGTTGGAGCTGACATCCCACTTAGAGTTACACAACCCTCTTTTTCTTCCTTCATGTTTGACCGTAAAAGAGCTCTGAAGAAATGTGACGACGCAGCCAGAATAACACGGTGGCATCGAAACTCGTCGTTGTCAACGTTTACAGTATAGTCCAAGAACTCACTTTCTTGTAGAAGTTTGTCTGTGTTTTTGGCAATAGTCTGCAGGTTTTCATATTCCTCGCACATCTTCGAGTTCTACAGTAGGAACTGTAAAATGTGAAAAAAAAAAATGGTTTATACAATAACTTCTAAGATGTATTATTATAGCAAGGTATGTTCCAACTGGTACTAAGATCAGCAGGGAAATTAAAGTTCAGCTTTAAGTAAATGTAAAGCCAGAAAGTTGTCACCTTTGAAATACACCAGAGTAAAATTTTGTGAAGAATGGTTCCGAAACACAATAATAAATAGTCAGAAGCTGAGAGAAGAATCAGGATAGATATGGAACGACGCTATGAAAAGACAACTTACATGAACAGTAGCCGCAATAGAGTTTTAAAAAAAATATAATGTTAAACGAACGACTGATCCATGTACAATAATTTAGAATATTTAAAAATACAACTTTCCAACATCATCATCTTTTTATTTCCTGCCCAAAAGACATGGAGCAGATGAAGTAGAGTTTATCTGTTACAATGACCTCGGCGTATGATGGATAGTGTGGTCCGCACTGTGGCCAGTGGCCTTTGTGTCCCTTATATGAGTTAGGTACCCATCAGAGGCGTAGCGAGGGGGGCGGGGGGTGACACCATTTTTGGGGGTGACACCAAGGCAAAAAATAGCAAAATATATAGAGAAAAATTTGAGGGGTGGGGGTGCAAATCGAAAGTTTGAGGGGGGGGGGGGTGCAAATCGAAACTTTGTCCCCGGGAAGGGTCGCTACGCCTCTGGGGGGGGGGGTGACACAATTAAGTGCCGCTCCGGGTGACACCCGACCTCGCTACGCCACTGGATCCATCACAGTTGGGTGGACCCAATGACGTTCTACAGTCTCGAACCCGTGGTAGTAGTGGTAAGCTCTACCGTCCGACCACGCCGTTAAATAGAGTCCAAAAATGGAGAGCAACCAACATTAAAACAAACTCTATACAAGTCTATGAATCAAATATTTACCAGGACAGTGTTAAGTCCTTCACATATATCTTCCCTGATTGTGTCTATTGTGATCAGAGGCGTAGCGACCCTTCCCGGCGCCCGGGGACAAACTTTCGATTTGCACCCCCCCCCCCCCCCGTCGAACTTTTCATTTGCACCCCCTCTCAAACTTTCGATTTGCACCCCCCCCTCAAACTTTCAATTTGTTTTTCCAACCCATTTTGGCGCACCGCCTAAGGACATATGTCCCCCCCCCCCCGCACCCCCCCCCCCTCGCTACGCCTCTCATTGTGATGTGATGTGTGTCGAATGACAGGTGCCCACATATGTACTAAATTGTAGCCCTTGGTTGTGTTTTATGTTATGGGACGAGAGGTGTTCACATACAGTTTGAGAGTTGACATTCTGTGTGAGTGTGTGGCAGTTAGGTGACAGTTTGGACAGCGAGAGGGCGTGGTGTGCAGAGGCCTAGCGGGGAGCGGGGGCGGGGGGTGCGGACCACACAGGGTGACACCATTTAGGGGGGTGACACCAAGGCAAAAAATAGCAAAATATATAGAGAAAAATGTGAGGGGGGGTTTCATATCGAAAGTTTGAGAGGGAGGGGGGTGCAAATCGAAAATTTGAAAGAGTTTGTCCCCGGGAAGGGAGCTACGCCCCTGGGGGGGTGACACCATTAAGTGCCACACCGGGTGACACCCGACCTCGCTGCGCCAAGTGTGGTGTGGATGAGTATGCTAGGTTGTTAGGTATTGTTTTATCAAGTTTGTACTATGTTACATATGTATCTTTCAAATTTACACCTTTATTATTATTTATATATTTATTTGTATTATCGAGTTTATTGTATTGTACTTCATATGCAGTCCTACATTAGTATATTCAATCGAGAGAAGGACACAGCATATATTATAAGACAAAACAAAAACGGCTGGGCATAGTGCTGACCACAATATCTCTTCAATGAATAAGATGAACTCTACTTCATCTGCCCCATGTGTCTTGGGCATGAAGTTTTGATAAAGCTTTTATACTTTATAGGTATCACTACTCGAGAGGAATACTTATTGACAACATAAGTTGTTTCGTCCATATCAATACTAACGATCAGGAATAGACTAGTCTAGATGTAGATCTAGTTTCAGCCAGCCTATCTATGAAATACGATTAACTAAAAAACACTAATACTAACATTTTCTAAAAATTACCCTTAACAATTAACACAACTCCTGACGTGTAAACTTACCAATATATTGTAACCGATACAAGAAATAAAAACAAATGAGAATCTAAAATGAGTAGACTAAAATCGTTATTTTTCTCAAAGCCATGTACTTCAATGTCATCAATGTAAAATTGGAACAGTCAGACCAACACCGGTGCTAAGTAGCGTCTTATTTTTTAAATTCTGCAGCTGCGGTGTGCAAATAGAGGTGAAATAGTGTTAGAAATATGTTAACTTCAATTCAATTCAAGTCGATTTTAATTTTTTAATTTTTTTTTCTGCTTAGTAGTAATATGATATACAAACTTTTAAACACAATGTATTGGTTAATTTAATCTTACATAAATTAGCTAAAATATTGGTTAATTAATAGAATGTTCAATACAAGTGTAGTGTTGTTATTTTAATTACCTCGTTTTACATTTGCTGCATTATGTATTTTTTTTTACAAAGATGATGAGAATTAACAAAAACATGAGCTCACATTTAAGGTTCAAGGGATAACTATTTCGACAGTGGATAGCTTCACTTATCTATGGAGTGTAGTAAGCAAGGTAGGGGGAGCAGATGAGGACATTAAAAGCCACATCAGCAAGGTCCGGTCAGAGGCGTAGCAAGGGGGTGCAGGGCGGAGGGTGCGGACCGCACCGGGTGACACCACTTAGGGGGGGGGGGGGTGACACCAAGGCAAAAAATAGCAAAATATATAGAGAAAAATTTGAGGAGGGGGTGCAAATCGAAAGTTTGAGGGGGGTGCAAATCGAAAGTTTGAGGGGGTGGGGGGGTGTGCAAATCAAAAATTTGTCCCCGGGAAGGGTCGCTACGCCTCTGGGGGACGACACCATTAAGTACCGCACCGGGTGACACCCGACCTCGCTACGCCACTGGGTCCGGTATGCACTCAATACCCTCGACATAGCCTGACGTCAAGACCGATGTTCAAACTTTCAAAAATACGACTGAAACAGATGTGTAAAACGTCGAGATTTGTGAACATTGCGATTTTGATTTTTTTTTTTTGCACGACTACAATATTTCCTCTATTGGGCTTGTAAGTTTATCGTTCTTTCTCGCGTTAATTCATATCTGGTTAGCCAGGGAGAGATAAAAGTTTTCGAACTAAATCAGTTGTTGTGAAAGTTAAAACGGACTTGCTTGGTACGCACCAGAAAACTAAAAAAGAAATGTGCACAATGAGTGCACTTTTTAAGAACACGTTCTGACGCCGCAGCTATTTTACATTGTGTTACTGAAACATTAAAATCTGTTTCTATTTTTTAAAATATTTCTAGCATAGTTTTAATAAATAAAATAACGATAGCTAGAGTTATAATTTAATAGTATTAGTCCATTGCGAGAACTCCTAGGTAGGTTTAGATTAGATCTTTAGATGTGAGAGAGAAATATATTTTGACGAACATGGTAAATTTTTGTTTTTTGAAAGATCTAGCGTCTGAAGATTTAGATTCTAGAATTTATATAGATCTACTGCAGTTGCAGTTTGTAGATCTAGATCTTGATCTACTACCAGTGGCGTCGCTAGGGTCGGGTATCACCCCCCAGACATAAATTACATAGGCCTATAAGTTAAATATATGCAACATACAGTACTTGTATGTGTATAATCAATGCAAACGTAATAGTAACCATGTTTATCTAAAGTCTTTTAATAATACAATTGGATGTAGCATTGTTTTCTCTATAGTTAGCACGTTTACGTTATGGTGTCAATCCACGCTCTTGAAATAGTTGTCGATTTGTACTTAAAAGACTTTATAAGTATAAATTCATCATTAATAGAAATGGTAAAATAGCATTTTTCTTGTTTTTCCCCCATTATTTTGCCTTTATGTCACCATCCTAAATGGTGTCACCCGGTGCGGTCCGCACCCACCACCCACCCTTTGTTTGTTAGGGTTTAGTCTTAGTGTTAAGTCTATGACTCAGGCTAGAGTAGAAAGCTAACAATGATGATCAGTGGCGTAGCGAGGTCGGGTGTCACCCGGTGCGGCACTTAATGGTGTCACCCCCCCCCAGAGGCGTAGCGACGCTTCCCGGGAACAAACTTTCAATTCTTCATTTGCACCCCCCCTCGAACTTTCGATTTGCACCCCCTTCACTCAAACTTTCGATTTGCACCTCCCCTCAAAATTTTCTCTCTATATTTTTTACTATTTTTTGCCTTGGTGTCACCCCCCTAAATGGTGTCACCCGGTGAGGTCCGCACCCCCGCCCCCCTCGCTACGCCTCTGATGATGATACAAATATGACTAGTGTATTGGTTAACGTCAGGGTTATGTTTAGGACTTGGACTGTATCACTAGATCCATGGTTAGGATCAGGTAGTTATGCCGGCAGAGATAGATACAATTTTATAGACTTCGTGACTTTTTGATAACTAGCTTTATGGTTAGACTAATGATACGAAAGAAATGAAGCTTAAATAAACGTATTTTATCGCATTGAAAGACCAACATTGTATCTAGATAGTTGATATTGTTTTTTAAAATAAGTCTCATGAAAGAAACGTATGAGCAGTACTAAGGTCACGGTCAAGGTTAGGATTAGGATTATAATAAGTCACGGCGTAAGCTAGAAGTTTTGTAAGGAATATAAGAGTAATTTAGCTGTTTACTTAAAGTTTTAGTACGAATAATATAACGTAGTTAAAAGTTATGTATGCGGGTCTAGCCTTTCAGTTATACATACATACATACATAATTACATATACATCACTGTCGACACTCTACTATAACCCGAATGGTTAACTACCCGCCAGTCAGAGGCGTAGCGATGGGGGGGGGGGGGGCAGGGGGGTACATATGTCCCCGGGCGCCGACCTTAGGGGGCGCCAAAATGGGTTGTAAAAACAAATTAAAATGTCATTTTAGCTGCATTTTTGCATTATAAATAGTCTAAGGGGGGGGGGGTGCAAATCGAAAAATGTAATTTTTAGGGGGGGTGCAAATCGAAAGTTTGAGGGGGGGGGGTGCAAATTGAAAATTTGCTCCCGGGGGGGGGGGGGGGCGCCAGATTGAAAGTTTGTCCCCGGGAAGGGTCGCTACGCCTCTGCCGCCAGTATAATATTTACCTTCCCTAAAATTGTAGTAGGACACTACTCCGCTGTCGATTACTTTACCTCCCACTTTATATACTACAATCTTCTCTACCCCATCCCCTATAGCACATCGTATTTCTTTGTCGGATAAAATGTCGCAGATACATATCATTATGAGGTTCATATCATCACGCATGAATGAATGGGATTTAGCTTTCACTGATATAAAACCTCTTGCACCCTCAATGTGAGTCCGCTTTTGAGTTTAATATCTGGGCGATAAATCTATTTTATAAAAACGTTTATAATTGTCTGGTTTTACTGTCGTGTCTGCCCAGTACTTCTCATTCATAAGTTTCAGCTTCGGAGCATGCTCAGCTGAAATGAAATAAGTTACCTTGGACATGAGCAAGAGCTTGTTTTAAAAAAAAGTTAGGCCGACGTTGTTGCTGACCATCTAAATTAATATGGCCAGTGTGGCCTAGCGGTAGAGGGGTAAACTGATAGAAAGTTTCGAGTTTGAATCCGGGTTGAAGTCAGAAGAATGTACCTGAGTCCACCAAGCTCTAATGCGTACCTAACTCACATTAAGGAAAGCAAAGGTTGGTTGGCATAGTTCTGAAAACACTATCTCTTCATATGCCGTGGTCTCTGAAACATATGATCTCTACTTCCTCCCCCATGTGCCCTGGGCACGAACGGGAAAAGATAATGATGATGATGATGATCAAAATTAATTGGCTCCATAGCGAGTCAAGTTTACATAAAGTGATACCGGTAATATAGACATACAGTATTATGTTCACCAAATTGGAAGTGTAAACACAACGATCACTTCGCTCTACAATGTGGTGGTAATGTTTACACTTCTGACATGAAACACGGCAGGCGAGACGATTCGGTGCCGTGTGGAGTGTAGGTTCGGATCCCGTCTGGTTAGAAATGACTGTCTTTTCTGGGACTATATTGTGCGCATGTGTCTACATTTAGCATTGAAATAAATCATAAGGTCTCTATTGCTACTTCTCTAACAATACCTGTTTCCAACCCCTCTTCAGAAACTGATAAACAACTCGGCGAGTTAGTGGGTACTAGGCCAAGCAAAAAAAAAATAGAATTGAATGAAAGTATTTCCAACTGCTTTCAGCGGTTAGCATTCAATTGATGATATTCAAATTTATTTTTGCAGTGTTGGGTGTAATGGAGGCTTTATGTCTTCCTTATCAAGTTGCTAGATCCGTTTATGAATACCTGTAGAAAAGCGATAAAACACTGACGATACTTGCTAAAAATAATATTTCCTCATTTTTAGTCAGTACTGTGCAATATCGTTGACAAAGTTTTCGAATGCTATGTATTTACTTTCTATACAGAAATTGAGTTTAGCATGTTTTTTTTTCTTACAGAAATAGTTTTCAGATCATGAGTTCAATAAGGTTTACTCTTCGATGAACAAATAATTCCCTAATTCTACTTTGGAGTTTATCTTTTATCATCAGTAGCACGGCCTTTTTAAAGTCATTTTTTTCCTCGCCATCCTTTAGAAGTTAGGAGCAGTTATTGGTTGGCTTAAAATTGATGTATTAGACAAATTGATCACGCATATATACAACTAAAAATTGAATATTTTAGACACATCAATTATCATATAAATGGTTATGTTATAATTCTATAAACCCATCAAATCATGTTACAATGTTTAAAATGGCAAGAGTTTTTCTGCTATTTTTAATAGTTAAAATTTATATGGTGTAAATTTTTTATATTTTCAGGTTCTTTTTTTAGATTTTCTTGGTAATATCAAAGCGAAGCAACATGAGTTTAATCAGTTTCTTATAATAAAGTTAGACTGCATGTATCATTTATGATGGGGGAATTAAACAACAGGGCGCACACTGTGATAGAAAATCTGAAATCGTTTTTCATTGAAAACGATGCGATGGACTACACCGTTAAAGTTGAAGACGTCGAGTTTCGATGCAACCGATCCTTGCTGGCAGCGTCGTCACATTTTTTCCGAGCTTTAATACGGACTGACATGATGGAGGCTAAAGATGAT